GCCAGCGACAGCGGCTCGTACGACAGGATCTCCGGCGCTGAGCACCACACAGACAATTGACTATCGACATCATTTTTGATAATGGCGTCGTCGAGACGTTTACACACAACAATTAGCAAACTATTCAGAAAATAACTCTTTCCTACTTTAAAAAATAATTTAGATAAGATGAAAGTGCAACTTAACATTTTTAATGTAAGATTAACTTGCAAATATACCAAAAACACATTGATAATTTAATGTTAGAACGTTTGCTGCTATAAGGATAGATTCTTATTGCAAAAAAATCACGCTCTACAACTCAATTACGTAACATCTTGAATTATTCATCAATCAACGTACCATATTTCTATGGAAAAATAAGTTTACAATGGCAAAGTATAGCGAAGTGCGGCGATGATGTAAATGATATTCAGAGTGGAACGAACAGCTCCGGCGGACACGCGTTATGTTATTGATAGCTTATGTACTCAATTATTTACGCGTAACAGCTTGTAACATTGAAAAGGAGAAAGTACAGTGTGAAATAATCATTTAGATAATTATTAAACAGTGGATAAATCTATGCACAAAATAACATTTAATTTGAGACAACAGTTGACAGATTTGTGTCGGTGTGCGATAAGATACTGACCGACATAGTCCCTGGTGCCGAGTATCTCGCGCACGTGAGCGCCGGGCTGGATGGCACGACTGATGCCGAAGTCGCAGATGACGAGTTCCTCGTTGCCGGCGCTGAGCAGCAGGTTCTGCGGCTTGAGGTCGAGGTGTGCGACACGGCGCGCGTGCAGATGCGCCAGGCCTTCGAGTGCGTGTCGCAGCGCTCGTCGCGCGCCCGCCTCCGCCAGCCGCTCCTCCGCGTCCAGCACGTGTTGTAACTCGCCGCCCGCGCACAGCGACAGCACTATAGCCACCTCTGACCGCGTTTCGTATACCTGTAAATACACAATTGCAACGTTAAACTTATTAAGATCTTCCACGACCATGGAAATTCGCAATACCAGAGGATCAGGAGATTTAATACCACCCTTTGAGAAAGTATTGACATATTTAGAGTCTTTCTATGATAACTTAAGCAGTACGGACATAAAGAATTATAAGATTCTAAACCTACCTCGTGCAGCCTAACGACGCGGTCGCAGCCGCCGCACAGCGCGAGCACGGCCACCTCGTGGTATATCTCACGCGTGGAATCCGCCGCGCGCCGCCGCTTGCGGATGAACTTGGCCGCGAACTCCTCCCCGGTTACTCGATGCCGAATCTTGCGCACCGATGCAAACTTGCCTCTGTAACACAACATTATAAAATTGTAGTGACAATCAGACAGGTTTTTTTTATAAAGTTAAAAAAAATCATTGCAACATACGAGTACATCTGCAATGTTATAGTAGTTATTACAAAAAAGAAGATATACATTTTATAAGCGTATTCTAGTCCATTAGCCCACCTAATAACGGTACGACTAATAGATTAGTTGGTTTATGGTTGCAATCAAATAGCTATAAAACTTTAATTTGCAAACCTACATTTAAAGCATCTTCAATTAAACTAAACTAAATATCTATCGAGATAAGAATAACACGTTCAAAAAAGATTCTTTAGATTACCGTAACATAAATAATAGACAATTACAAGTCAGATTTATCTGACGGCATTTCCACAGACCAACTAATATGCAGAGAGTTCAACTCTCAGAGTTGTGATTAGGCCATCTCATTAAGCTGTCACTGGGGGAACGAAATGTCCTCCATAAAGACTGTAGAACGCTAGAGGGCGTCACTCAAGATAATTAGTCGCCCGGCTGATATATGCAGCTGAAGCGCCCGACTGACGGCCTGCTGCCGGGACTAGGGTGTCAGCACTCAAGACTACGTTACAATTTGTTATTATTTGTACTCACTTCTTATAGATATCCTCTTACCAAGATCTTAAAACGATAGAAGATAGATATAGTTAATATTAAATTTTATATCTCCACATTTATGCAGGCAAATACTTAAACAAACAAGCTTTATAAAAAAACTAGATGAATTTCTGTGTGACAAAACTGTTGGAACATTACTAAAGAAATATTAGAAGGTTTCCTAATTGTAACTAACACCGAAGCCAACATTCCATTAATTTTAACGCCAAGTATCTATGAAAAGTTTAAATTAGCTTTAATAGTTAAATGTTAATCTATTCGTAGCGTTAACTATCTCATAAGGATGAGCGTTATTTAAGGAGATTAGTGTGAAGGGTAGTTAACATTCTTGAGCGGCGTGCAGGGTTGCGAGTGTATAAATCCTGGCGCCGAGCCGCGCCGAGCCGCGCCGAGCCGCGCCGGCGCCCTCTACACCTGTCATCATCCGAGCTATGATTTAAAACTAAACGTATGATAATAATAGACTAAAAGGTATCTGTATCTCATTATATTACGATATTCATAGTAAGTTAATACGTAATTTGTTATTTTCGAATTAAAAAGTGCTAAAGGGATTTTGGTATAAAATAAGTAGGCGAGAAAAACGCGCGTCAATCGTACTAATATTATAAATGCAAAAGTTTAGATGGATGGATGGATGTTTGTTAGAGTTTGTAGCCTAAACGGCTGAACGGATCTCGATTAAATTTGGCATAGATGTAGAGGATAGTCTGGAAGAACACATAGGCTACTCGCTTTTGTTTTCTTTTAATTTCACGCGGACGTAGTCGCGGGCGAAAGCTAGTAAGTTATAAATAAAAATTTGCTTTAACTATACGTGTATCAAGTTATTGAGCAGGTCCTCAAATTTTCAAAACAAAGCTACAGCATTTTTTGAATGGCAATAACGTCATAGCAAAATTACAGAAACTTTTAGTCTATAGGACTGTATATGTATTTAACTAGATGACGTCACAATATAAACCGTCCAAATGCATAAAACATTACGTCACAAAATTAGACTTTTAAATGGAGCGCGGTGTTCGCATCCCGCGGTGCAAAAAGCGTCAAGTAAATTACCACCGTCGGAGAAGTGTTGGTCGGCGACCGCGTGAGGGGAATTAATATCCTACCACCAACATTAATACTAGCGGAGGTAGCCTGCTGCGAGCAGTGCTGTAGGTTCGATGCACTTTCCTGCGAATCGAGTCAGAAATTCGACAAGTCATAAACCAAATGTTTAAAGAAACGCTCCCTGTGGCGTATTTCGGGATCAATTTACGACGCTAAATGAGGTTCGAGGTTAATTGTGAATGCAATTATACATAAAACATGTAAATTTTACGATGTTTGCTCAGCGTCTGGACAAAATTCACTTGAAGAACATTTTCAAATGTTTTATTCAGATATTCTGTATCCTTTTATAAAAGATAAAGTACGGATCCGTAACTGACTTTAAAATCTTTATCGACGTTAAACATTAACTTAAATAACGTGTTACTTTTTAAACATTTATTATTTGTTAAATTCAATACAAAGTATGGTATCGAATTTGTTCGAAGGGCGTCGACGGTGGCCTGGCTGACAGAGGGTAGGGCGGGGGTAGATCAATAGCTGCTGACACCCTGCCCTACTTATTGAAGGTAAATGGGTCGTCGTATTGCAGGTGATTACACTAGGTCATTACCTTGACAGATATCGAATATAATCCAACCATCTGTTTAAAATATAATATTTTATAGAACTTGTTTTGTAAAGTCCGAAAATAATGTCCATGATTAAGCTAAATAAAGAAGTTAATAGTATAGGAAACGTTAAATTCTCATTATATACCTCGTTACGACACATAAATATGATTGTAAATGATTTAGTTTGACAACAGTAGCATTATTCATGCAACATAAATTAAGTTGACAATATTTTATGGTGATTTAATGATTGAATTCATCCGGCATGTTCATCCGGTCGTCCAATTAGGGGCGAGCGAGCAATCTGCGAGGTGAGCCAATCCCTGCTTCAAACTACGCACCTGCTTCCAACATCTATACAAGGTTACCTTCCAAATTCGACCACCTGCCCGACAGCTGCTATACAACCTTTTTTTAAATCTTTCCTTACAGATGGGTCGGATAGTTTTTTTGGTTATTGAAGACACGTGTCGCCATACAATGGACAAAAATCGTAGTATTTAGTATAACTAAGCCATATAGCAATCTATACTATTATAATAAAGCGTAAACACACACTTCTTTGTTACCTATGATGTCAGCTATTACAGCATATTCTTGAATAATTCTTTTTTTAATAAAAAGCCCTACACTTGCGTCACGCTTTAGGCTATACATTTTCACGCGATTAAACTTAGGGGGTAAATATTTTGGATAAAACCCTAATGTGGGAAAGATACCATAAGTTGCTGCCAACATCAAGGAAGCAAGATTGCCATGGCTTATCATGTTCATTGTGATGGCTCGACATTTGCTATTAATAAATTAATAAAATTTTCATAATTTCATGCGGATGAAGTCGCACGGGAACAGCTAGTTAGTAATATTAGTAAAGATTTGAGTGCGACATTTTCCTAGTTCGTACTTAGTATTTTAGTCTCTTAGCAAATTATTCTACTGAATATTTAATTAGTTACTACTAAAACTTGTCTGAACAAAAATTTACTCAAGTAGATTAGCAAATGACATAGACGACTGTTTTTATCAATTACTTGGAATTCGATTAATTAGAAGCTTAGTACGAACTAGACAAACGCATAAAGGTTTTGTTCCGGGCGCATTCTTTGATATGTAAATGTACGCAAATCCAAAGCCGCTTCCTCTCGATCAATGAGTCGAGACCAGGCGGTGCTTTTGTAGTCCTCTTACATCACGTAAACAATTGACAACAATCGTCATCATTGAGGTTTTATGTACAACTAGACAAAAAAAATACGTTTCAAGTCAGTTTAACCGCTAAAACTTAAAGAGTATTTTCAAATTTTAATTTGTTTCGTCATTTTTACAAATCATCACCAGACAATACATTGAGCACATTTTTTTTAGTAATTCGATATCCAAGACGATGCAATATCGAAACGTTTTGTGGCCATGCGGTGGGTAATTGAAGGTTCCCTAAATCAGCATACTGTTGCAATTGCTGGCCGCAATGAGTATTTACGAGCGCTTTATGAATTTGCGAGCGTCAGGGCGCGTCTCATATAATATACATTCTTCACAATGAGCGCGCAGGAAGGGGTGGACTGACCACTGACCACACTCATTCATCACAGTGAATCATTATGCAAATGAAAAGAAAATTGTACAGACAAAGAGGTAGTATTAACAGACAAAAGTAAGATAATCGTTAATCTATGTATTGTTTTGTGCTTGTGCCTTTTGTGGAGCCTATCTTTTCAGGTAGCAAATATTAAAGCTCAACGAAATGATTGATAATTTAACTAGTTGAAAGTTTTGGGAATTCAGGTGTGCCTAGTAAACACGTGTTGGTAACCGATCGCAAGCGATGACGCAACTCGGATTACAGCACGCCGTGACCGATGGCGCGGCCTTGGCCCTGCACCGCGGTCGTTCCCACCGACATCAACACCATACACAACTCAATCTATTTTTTATTTGGATTACTTTGTTTGGCTGAACAAACACCTGTCTGTCGATACTAGCTTTATAACAAAATGGTGGAGTTGATAACAAAATGGTGGATTTAATGCGTGTCGTGTGTAAAGTGGAAAGTCAGTGTATCCGTTTATTGTAAATTGGCATTTAACAATTCAAAAGTAGAATATTAAATACTATACCATATTCTCCTTAAATAACTCATCATACAACAAAAGTATACAGCTTTGCCTGTTCAGAAATAAGCGATTGCAATTTTAATTCATCATCATTTAGCAATATTGTATTTAAGTGGAATCAATGTGCGCAAATTAAGATAAAACCCGACTATAATGATAACGCACGGCGGCGCACGCAGTAGATTAATGAGCTGGGGCCATTTACGTACTCAGTGAGACCGACGACGTCCAAATCGGTGAGTGGAAAAACTCTGAAGTCGGTAATTTCGAAACTAAGTTATTGACCAACGCCCTGATTGATTATCGGAATCGATCTTTGGTCACGAGTCATTAGCGGGTTGCGCAAGCGTGGAGACGATTAATCGATACATCGACGAGGGCTATCGATGTTGACGATCGTGTCTGGCGACGGGACAGCGACGCGACCCTCTCGTCTCATCTATCAACCGCACTATGTGATATTTCTTCACCTCTAGACAGATCCACAACAAACTTTGACAATACCAATAACTTAGGGTTTCGTATGGAGGGGTCATTTGAGGCCATTAAAGGATTGCAACGAGGCTGAATGAGAAGGGAATTATATCATTTGGTAGAGCGCGACGGAAGTCATAAAATCACGACGGGCAGCGGTCAGACCCTTGCGGCGGCCATTTGTAGCCTAGTTGCTTTTACTTCCTCCATACTGCGCGGAGCATGCACAGTGCAAGCGGTCACTAGCAAATATACAGTGTAATCGTGATACTGAGATTCCTTCATTGCTTTTTACTTTTTTTAATTAATGTGAAAAGAAATATTGTAGACTATCAATTTCTGCACTTGCACTGCAAATAATGTAACTTTTGTAAATTACTTAGAAATTGTTTCTTAATTGTAGTAACAATAGTCAATAAGGTTTTTTACTAAGAAAATATGAGATTTACTCGAAATAAAGTTTAATTATTATTATT